GTGACACGTTCGGCATCCACTGTGGGGTAGACGACACCCCGGCTCCATCCCCGTACCATCCGGAATCCATGTGCGAGGTTCCCACGCCACATAATGACCGCGTCGCGGGAGTAAGTTAAAGCTGCCCACGCTGCCACGCCGACCAACGCCCTAGCCATGAACCGGGCAAGAAGCCATTCGCACCCTCGCCCCCATACACCGGCGCCGGTGCAACCTCGGCAGCACCAACCACCGCGTCCCCTCCGCCCCGAGCGTGCACCCCCCGCAGCACCACTTCGAACCTAGCCGCCATATCGGCCGTGAGGTCTTCGACCGACGCGCTCATGATGGCCCGTTCGTTGGCGCTGCCTGCCTGTCCATCGTACTTCGCGCGGCCACAACGGACGCATCCGAAGCGGACTGCCTGTCGCCGCTCACATCTCCGTCCGTTCACGACGTGCCCCCGACGTCCCGATCAATATCCTGATCACGGGGGGGGCAAGCGGGTATGGAGGTACAAGCAAAATTGTATACATCGGAAACGCCAGAAGTTATTATGCGGGATACACGTCACGGTATGCACCTGCCTACCGGCGCGCATCGTAAACATCCCCTCGCTCGTGTTCCAACGGGTGCGTCCGGACCTTGCACCCCCAAGCCTTGCACACGATGCAGTACGCAGAGCCACGTACACCAGGACAGCACGCTTGGGTGGCCCCCGAGACATGCACATCTGTGGTACCACCACGATCATGTGTGGTTGTGGCCACCGACCCTTTCACTACTGGCAACACGCGTCAATGACTCCGCTGATTGTGCAGCCCCGGTCCACACACCGGTGCGAACCAAGCACCACCACATGTGAACCACTGTGCATATACATCACCGGGCGTAGGCCCATGCAAGATACAGTATGTGTCATGACGGCCGCCTGCTGTCTCGTAGTCGCCCCAGCAACATACATGTCCTATATCTGGCGTTCGGCTCCTGACAACCACGACTCATCTCCAGATGACACGCGATCATGGTTTGCAATGAATCATCTTCACCCCTCCTCAGATGTAAACCACTGTGCCTAAACATCACCCGGTGTAGGCCAATAAGTTGCGCAATCATGTACACCGGTACATGTGTCGACTTTCCACGAGCGCGTTCGTGTTTTGGCTCTGTCCAGCAATGGTTTCTCGCACACCTATCCCTCGTATGTGAGACTATACTCACCCACCCATACCAGCGTCATCGACGGATTTATCGATTCGATGCGCCACGGGCTAGTGGGATGTTAAGCTGTGAACACCGATGGACAGCAATTCTTGTTTAGAGGTGTCCATAAGTAGACACCCGCACCCATGCGGCACATGTATTTAGTCTCATCATATGACGACATACATGTTGGTTCCGTGTCTCTCTCCACCCCAGTACTCTCGCATATTTGTTTTTCCTTACTACGAGCATGCCAGGAGAAGACAACAAACCCTGTCTCCCTGCCCACCTGTACTGGCAACGTCGACACAGGCGTCTGGTTTGACCGCATCGATACGCAACAGGTGGGCGAGACGCGAGGCCGGAAACCGGCACCATACGCTCCAGCGTACCAGATCTGTATATATTATTTCTGTTCGTGCCATCCCACCGATTATCCCGTGCACGACGACCCACCCATCGCGTGTACATAATATAACCGGCCCATGCAAGATTCAGTATGTTTTACAACGGCCGCTAGCCGCCCCGTAGCCGCACCAGCGACATACATGTCATACATGTTGCGTTCGGCTCCTGACAACCACGACTCGTCTCCATATGACACGCCATCTTGCTTTACGATCAATTATCGTTACGCCTTCTCATCCGATCCAAATTGACTTCTGGAAAACCTCGTGGGAAAAAAAAATCCCGTCCGTCAAGTGCACCGACATTACAAGCAGTACCAACAATCGATAGCCGAGTCATTTGTGTGCGGACCGCGTTTTCGCAATCCACCACCCTTTCCTGCGCCGATTATCACGCCATAGTATCTGGCACCATGGATAGAAACCTGTGTCTCGTCTTGCGATTTGGATTTCCACAATCACACCATAGTTCCTGATATTATGGTTACATAGTCCTTTTTACTTTCTTGGCAGCGTATGCATACGGATGCGTTGAAGTTTGAAAATTTCTTTCTTGTCGGCGAAATTGGAACATCTAATACCACAATGCATTACAAATGTGGCCTTGTGTCTGCCTTTTTCGCGTGGCGCTTCTGTCTCGCGTTGTTATAAGATCCTCGGTCGCATGTTGCACACCTGGCTTGTAACCCGTGTACGTGAACTGCCAACGTCGAGGGAATCCTCGGCGTTTTCTCGTGCACACCAGCGCACGCAACCGCAGGAACATAAACAACATGCCATTACAATGTACCGCTGGTTGGTGGTCATGCTTGCCTGTTTGCTTGTTCGTTAGTGGTCTCTCCACCGTGTGCCTTTTCCTGTCTCATGTTTCTTGTTATTTTCGGCCTTGTCCCTTTTTGTCCTCGCGCTTTTTCATTTTATTTTCTCTTTCCTTACTGTTTCCTTTTATTTTTTTTCTCTTTCTATCTGTTTTTTTTTTTCTCTCTTTTTCTGTGCCAGATGGCCTTGTCTCTGCTTGCGTTGTGAAGTTCCAAGATTGAACCAAGGGGGTGTACCTCTTTCTCTCCGGCCCGTGATGGTGACCCCTAGTCTCAGTTGCTACCTCGCATAGCGCGCAGAGGGAGTGGAGGACTCCAGAATATCTGGCGTTGATTTCTATTGACTTGCGGACCCATCGGGGCCATTTTATTTGAGTGTACCTTTTAAGGCTAAGTTAGCCTGCGACCACGGGAATCGACCGCGTCGAGTGTTGTATCAGTACGGACATACGAAGGTACTGGGTAGAGAGAGATCGGAACGGTTTTTCATGTGGAGACAACAACAACAATCAAAAGGTTACATCGAGACTTCACGAGCAAGCCCCAACAACATCGTCCCATCACGTATTGTTAAGACAGAGACACCCATCGGCCAACTTCATACGGCACTTGGGCCCTTCCTTCTCATGTCTCCGGTACACACGAAAGGACGATGTTTGCTATCATGCGCAATGACCGCTGTTTGTTAGACCCAGCTCTCGCTGTCGTGCTGTTGGGAGAACACGCAACTCCACACACCGCACGTACAAACGAGGGAGTTGATGCTCCTCCTGAAGCGACGTATCGACTCCTCCCCCCGCCGTCTCTCTCGGTCTGCGCCCCGCCGCCAAAGACGACAACACGAGCTCCCGGAAACAGAATTTCCCAACAGGTAGCGCTGGTCGTGTTGTCCACTCCGCCGTGCTTCTTGGTGTGCGCCCCGCCGCCAAAGACAACACTAGCTCCCGGAAACAGAATGTCCTAACAGGTAGTAGCTGGCCGTGTTGTCCACTTCACGTCTAGCAATCGCTGTGCTCCTCCTAGCACTGCTGATGCTTGAACGTGATCGGGCGCAATAGGAATGTCCTGCGAGCAGCTGTATTTCCTCAGCACGCAGGCCTCCTCTCTTAGAAGCACGCAGACATCCTCGTCGCCATATAACATAAATGCCCACTTGAGACACCTCCCCCGTTTGGTAGTATCCATCTGAAACTCTCTTGACTCCCGTCTACATCACACCCGCATCCACACTACTGTTGTACAGTAGTGAAAGCAACGCCAACAAGCCGCTTTGACGGGTACATACAAGGGTGTGGTTTGGTACCGTACAAGGAATACCACATTTACATCCCACATTACGTGTAGTGCATCCCCGATAGTGGGAAAAGGCCTCTGCAATTCTGCGCTCATGTCGACTAACCGCAAACAATACGGTGAGAGAACAAAGGCAGGTAAAACATTGTCACTTCCCGCCCCCGCACACGGCAAGCGCAACCTCAAACGAAAATCAGCAGATTAAACTGGAACTGTTTTCATTGTTCATGCGCACATTTGAGGAAAGGACATGTTGAATGAACCCTTCTTGCGTAAAGAACCAACGTCGTGCACCGTTGAGGAGTTCTCCCGTGCGACTTATGACTACGGGGCTCGGGATCGGAGCTCGTCTGTTCGCAAGGGCCACCGCACGGCTGGAACAATTAGTATAAGCGGCGGGTAATTAACAAGATGGCAAGAGAAAGAACGCGCACATGCTGTTGTTCCGATTCGATTGAAATGCTATCGTAAGAGCTGTTGTTGATTATGGTGTCGATTTCGGCGTTGCTGTTGTCTTGACAATTGAAACGATTGGGACCTCTATCCAGTACACCCGTCCCTGTCAAGGGTCATACGCGTTCTCGTCAAGGGATATATGTATACTTCGTTTTGTCAGTCGTCACAAGCTGACCCACATATATGGTGGTCCCGGAGGTAGTCCCGGAAAGTGAAAACACAACAGTGCCTGGAGCAAGTCCAGAAAAGCAACAACTTACAGCAGCAGGGTGGAACAAGGAAGAAATCCACCACAATGATCGGGACTACCGCAAGAGTGCTCAATGCTCTGACTTGGACTGTGAGCCACAAGACATTCAGTACATGCCAAGTTAACATAGACCCGAGGACTGTTCATGGTTGGGATTCCGACCGGCCAGGCCATCCCCACTCAACGCCCTGGAGGTGCAGGAAGGGACAACAACAAATCGAATGTACACAAGCGCACCTGAACGTAGGACGCTCTGTCCTACACTGGACAGTCTAAACGCGAGAGGGGGAATGGACGCCTTAGAAAAACCGAGAAGAGTGGATTTCTTTCTTGCTGGTGAGCGAGTTCTTGTTTCTGCTCCGATAACTTCATTAGGTTCTCTTTATTTTTGGAGTTCAAGGATGGCACAGAACCAAGCTAGCAAATGCTGCTGTTGTACAAGGTAAGTAGGGTGCATTTTCTTGCGTTCATGGGGGTTAAGTGAACCTGGATGGTGTCGTAGCATACAATGCGTGCTTCAAAACTTGTACGTTCGTGTCAATGCTTCAAGATAGTTCTTGCCGTCCCTTTCCAACTGTATATCTGATACTTAAGGATGGAATTCAACGACCCCGGCCCGGGGAAATCGCACACTTGCTGCACATGGACATGGCTGCTCATCGAAAGAAGACAGCCGACTTCAACAATGGGTGGAAGGTGATTCCTAGTTGAATGCATACAACTGTAGCGCTTGCCACCGCAACTTACATTATGTGCACACGTTGTAGAAGTTCCGTCTCTCTCTAATCGTTACGGTGCTGCCCACAGTTGACCTCACACGACCGCTACTCTAATTGGCTCGTGATTGTCCTGAGTAGCGTATTTCTTCAAATGAAGTCGAAAACCCTTTCCGCAAATTAAGAATCCAAATATCACTTTCATTCAATGGTTGGTCTTTTTAACATACAGCCGGTGGATAATCTCCCTCGTGTTTCGACGGGGATAGTTCCATATGTGTGAGTTGTCCTCCGCAATTTCGGGCGTCAATTTGTACGCGTTCAAGTATGTTTTGACCCACGAGCTGGAGCACACTGGAAGAAGGCCACACAGTTCATATTTCTTTGTCACCTCCCTTATGAGTTGCTGGCCATCGCGAGAGGGATGCAGCAGGTCCTTTTCCTGGTCGGCCATGAAGTTGAAGTATGTGTGCACACGAATCTATTGTTGTCGACCTTGTTGTGTGAGGAAACGGTCCCGATTCATGTGACTGCTGCCGAGATTCGAGCTCCCAAATGTCAAACGTCAGAAAGTTGCAAGATTACCTCTAGGCCTGGTGCGACTGGTAGGAGGGCAAACTGTTTATGCCCCTCAATGTGAGGAAATACGTGGATAGCAACGGAAGTTGTTTTGCTCTTGCTCAACAGCAGGGCTCCTTAACGTTCATGGTGCTTGCCTCAAATTGACCTTGACTGGCATCTTTTTTGTTTAGCCTCGCTCTTTATCTGCCATTGGTTTTGCCCTCTCTATCTCTTGCTACTGTTGCACTTTCGCTCCAGCGAGCCCTCTTGTTTGCTTCGATTGGGCTAGCGGCCGTAAGCTTGCTTAAGGCGGTCGAGAAGGCCAGAGAAGGAGACTCGGGCTGGTTGGAGCGTGGCCTGACGTCGGCCAACGCCGGCCTCATTGGGTTTTGGGTGTCGCAGGTTGACCTTCAGGCGGACAAGCCGTCTCTACTTTTTTGCCAGATTGCGGCGTTCGCGGTGTCCCTATACCAGGTGGTGGCATGGTGGACTAGTCGACGAAGTGAAATCCACGTGGACTTTCCAGTAGCTGTTATTCTGTTCATCGTGGTTGTGGCCTCTGTCGCGTCGATGAAATCAGCTCTCAATGAGGCGGACAACGCCTTCCGAGCAAGCGAAGCTCTTGCCGAGAAGGTAGATCGAAGACGTTGAGGAAATTTTCCCACTCATCGCTAGCAAGCTTCATCGTTGTGGTTTCGATGGGCAACGTTGTCTTTGCGATTGCGCTGCTCTTCCCCGATGCCCGTGATAGTGGCGGCAGAGGCTACCTTAGACGGTGGTGGTGTCAGCTTCCCTCGAGTTAGCAGGGGACTGTGGTGTCGGTTGCCGTTGACCATGCATCAATTCTTGGTCACGCTGCTCTGCCTCCTTTGTTGCCTCCAACTGTACGGTCTCGTAGAACCTGCCGTAAAGTTTTGTATAGTATGGTATAAGTAGGGGTTTCCGTGACTACCGCGGGAGGTTGACGTCAAGAACAGCCGGATTGCTTGCTAGTGGATAATCGTTGTTCACATCAAGGACGGCGCAAATTCTCAACTCCACTAGCACACGCCAGAAGTCGCTTTCGAGTCGTACAGTACTAAGCCGGCGCCAGGCGTAGTTGGTGCCCTCGAAACCTCTCTAGCTGGCACCGATTGGGATCCCGAATCCGGGCGATGCGATCTCTTTCCGCATTCGTGACTACAAAGTAGTTGTAGAGAGCGCTTTTGATTGTGCTACTTCGAAGTACAAGATACAAGTAGGAAGTACCTTTCTCGCTTGAAAAACGGACTCGTGTCTGTGGAAAGAGATGACTTCGTTTCGTTTTTGTAAGAGCAAAAACGGTATGCATGATACGAGATTCCATCCACAGGGATAGCTCCACGCTCTATCTCCATATCTCCACCCTAATACTCCAGCCACTGCGGTTTGCCAGTAGCTCATGTCGGAATGGGTGACGAATTGTGCTATGTTGCTCTGCAAGACCAAGTTAAAGCGTGTGACAGGACACGCAGCAACCTTCATTCACAGTAGACTACCTCTTCAGCTTAGCTTTCTGCTTCGCGGCTCGTCGTCGAAATTCTTCGTCTTTTCTTCGTCGATCTCGATCAAGTTCGTCCCGTTTCTCTGATTCGCTTTGGAGCATCTCTATTTCCCGCTGTTCCTTTTGCAACAGCCATGCCTGCAGCTGGATGTTCTTCTTCATGCGTTCCTGAGGTCGTGGATAGCATAACGTTGGGTTCGGAAGACGTGAATCTGATACGCGACGTTGGCAGTGCTGCAGCTCCGAAGGAAGAGCAACCCCAGACAAGATGAGGTGTTACTGTAAGATGATAACGATACGGAGAATGACAGTTCAAGCAGACGTAGAAAGCCATATCTTCCAGTGGTTCCACCGACTCGTGTCAACGACCACGGGCACAAGTATGATTCAAACGCTGTCCGGCGGTGGACGCTATTGCGAACTACAGTAAGACATCGCTAACTACTACGTCATTTCAGAGGGGAAGGATGCTGTGGCGAAAAACGTCCAAATATGCCGAGGTGTCTACGTACTCCTGAATTACCTTAGCCAGCCTTAGTTCTTTCCGAAGCTGCAGCTCCTCGTCCTTTTCCGTCATCTCCTTCTTCATCACTACCACCACCTCATCTGCGTGCTTGCCACGAAGACGATAAGCCAACTTCTCCGACGTGCGGTCTTTCCTTGGCGTGACTGGGGGCAACGCAACGTGTTTGCTTTGCAACTTTTCCTGGTGGAGCTGCCCCCCGGCTGCAACCCCTCCTTTCCACGGTTGACTAGCTGCGGGCAAGCCCCCTCGTGTTTCGCTCTGCGCCTCTCCGGGGATTGTTTTCTCATGCAAGCTCGGATGCTGTTGCGCATGTATTCCTTGCCGAATCGTCTGCGGAGCGGCAGCTAATGCAGAGCAAGAGTTAGATGTCGACACGTTCAACCTGTTGCACCACCTCGCTCCCCCGGGGATACTAACGCTCAATTGAGTCAACAATTTGGCCAGATCGGCGCGCAGATCTTCTTCCTCAATGTCGAATCTGAAGAAACGCCGAATATCGAGTACTATGTGCTCGATAGCGGCTGCCAATGCCCCATTCGCCGCTTGCAGGGTGGCAACGTCCGATTCCATTTGCCCCGGCTTGTTATCACTTCTGTCGACTGCCTTGGGACCTTGATTTTCTCTGAGGGCCGTGTTTTCCCGACGCAACTGATCTATCGTCTCCTGGTAAGCCAGCCTCTGGGCTTCAACAAGAGCCGTGAGAGCAGGAGGCCGCGTGGGCCCATCGGGTGCCTCTTCGCGAAGGCTCCGAGCCTCGGTCGTATCTTGGAGTAACCCACGCAGATGTTTCACCTCAGCCTGCAAGCGATGGACCAGCGCGTGGTCTACAGGGCGGTGCTCATTCACCCTGACAAAGGTCATGACTTGCTTTGCTCGATCAGCAAAGCGTAGCGTGCTGATAGTCTCATCTATAGACTGGCTTGCCGGCGACAGTGTGGCGATGATCCTCGTCCTGGTGTTCCCTCCGAGAGAATCTTGAAGGAGCCGTGTGAGCTTGGAGTCTCGATACGGTACATGGCCCTTGCGCGCGCCCCCCTCGCCGTGGGAATTGGGGGCACTTAGCGCGGCAATCACGCGCCCGAGCGTGTGCAAGGATACGTTGATGTTCGTCATCTCGCTAACACGAACCTCTGCCATATCTTGCTTCACGTCCCACTTCTCGGAACTGTGGCCCAACAATGGGGGGCGAAATTCGACGGTTGAGAGTCAGGCGCATTGGAACATGGAAGACTATATACTCTTCGGGCAATGTACGTGTACATGGTTGTTTTGGTTTCGTATTCCTCATCTCACTACTTCTTTGTGAAGCTCCTTTTTGGGAAGTCGAATTTTCTCTCAAATGCACGGTAACTCGCGCTGTACGTACACACCTGCATAGTGCATGGAGTGAGCCGGGAGAGACACTATCACGACCACCGTCGAGATGCTTACCCCGCCAGATCAACAAGGTTGAACTTCGACCGAAGGATGCGCTCCCCGTCTTGCTCACTCCGGCGTTTTTGCTCTACGACGATCTGGAAGATACTATGACTCCGACTTGATGCCTGATTCATGTGGGTTTCTCGAATCGCTCTGTCAACATCAGGTCAATCGGGCAACGACCGGATAAATACGTTCGTATTGGTGAAGAAGAGTACATATCTATCAAGAATGACACAATTTATGGTCTCCATCCGCACGCATGCAGCATTTCTCCGATCGAGCTCTTCCAAGGGTCACTGAAAACCCACACTAACCTGTGTTCTCTCCCGACACGCAACAACTGAAGGCATTCCCCGGCGCTGCGGACCGCATACTCGCTGAGCCCTTGTACGTAAATCCCAGCTTCCGCTTGCTCGTGTATGGCGAGTGGATGAATTCTCTGTGGATCTCTCAGCATGTCGAAAAGCTGTTCGTTGTAGATCTGGACGCCGCTGCACCACACTGAAGATTCGCCAGCGTCACCCATTTCCTGCCTTAAACCCGCCTATGTAATGCGAGCGCGACACAGATTGGTTGCGGGGTGCGATGCTTGTGAGGTGTTGGGTAGGGGTATGCGAGCAGGGAAAACATGCAGCAGTGCCGGCCCGCACGTAAGTAACCGACTCAAGAAAAATACCTGAAGAAATAGAGCGTAGCGCCCGGCACTATTGTACACTAATTTGTCTAATTCCTACAAGGGCGACCGACCGCGACGATCGATGGAGCGACCGCGGGGCGATCGACGAAGGCGGCCCAAGGCCGCCCGATCGACCGACCGATCGACCGACCGACCGACCCAACCCAACCCTACCCAATCCTACCCAACCCTACCCAACCCTATTTATTCTTGTAAGAAACCTTTGCTCCGTGGGTTGGAACGTGGGGACAAAACGTACTTTGAGCCTCGTTCAAAATACTGCTGTTGTAGATGTAGTCAAAGTACGTCAAAATACGCGTAATTCGTACAGAAGACTACTGTAATCGACAAAGCAAACACTATGCAGAACGTGCAACGCATACATATGCCCTCCTTCTTACCAGCCCCTGGAACAAATCGGTGACCGCCAAAGGGATGATTCCCTTGCCATATCCCGGCGCTGTGCCTCCGTTCGCGTCTAAATCGGGCCCAAACATCGTGTACGTCTTGCCCGATCCGGTTTGTCCGTATGCAAAAATGCTTGAGTGCTCGCCCGCAAGGACAGCCGACGTACATTCGCGAACATGCGAGAAAACCCCCTCTTGGGATACCTCTGACCCAATCACGGCATCGTAGCGACATTGCAGTTGCCTCTGTGTTGTCGCTCCTTTCACGCGTATCGTGTTTCCCTCCCCTACTACGACGGCGACGGGTCCCGCCTCGTTGGGCAGCAGTGGGCGTATGCGCACCAGCACCTTGATGTTCTCCCGTCCTCCGTGTCTTGTCGGGGCATCAGGCGCGCTCTCCTCTAACCCTCCAGAGGCTTCATTTCCCCCACCATATTTCTGTTCTTCAACTGTATCTGATCGTGACATCCTTCTTTTACGGAAGCCTGTCTGACAAACTCGATGGCCCCTGGTCGACGATGCACTGCAACACACCACTCGACTTTTGTAAGCCCTACAAGTAGAAGAAGGGGCAACAACGACGAGCTGCTCGAAATCAAATCATATTTGCAGCGTACAGGTCAGCAATGTACTCCACTCCAGAAACATATCGGGTAGAGGCTGGTTGGAGACTATGGTCCAGAGAGTCCTGCACCCAGATCAACGATGCAAGGATCAGAGGCGTGTGGTGTGTATGAATCATATCCAGACTGTATGTGTGTAGTCTACAGATGATACGTGAAAATAAAATATCCGTATCCAAGTGCCATCTTTTTGTTCTCCCCGGGGTTTCCAAGGTGCGAAATTTCGGCTACAGCCACAGCAGGTATAGAGCCAGTCAGCCGATGCAGTCACCATGGATACGTGCGTGGACATCAGAGCAACTCAGACACTGGCCTCCTCACTGAAACAAGCGCACGATACAGCACGTCGTTGGATAATACACAGTATCAGTTCATCCGTTTTGAGATACTTGATTTCCCGATAGCGCCCGCAGTTGAGGAAAATTCTGACGCTCAACTTGTACAGAAAAAAAGAAGAAAGGGCTGCAGAAGAAACACAGCTCAATCTCGGCAACAACGAAAGAAAGGGTCCAACAAGAAACAAGATGGTGCCATGCCCCCACAACGCAAGAAACAATATGTACCTGGGGGAGCGTGTGCTGTAAGAAACGTCCCACTGCTTCTCCTTCGGTACTTCCACCCCCCTACCTAGCTGAAGAGTGGACGCCACACACCTTGGACAACCATATGTTCGCTGTAGTATGGGTTTGCTTGATGTCACTCGCCACCACCTCTCTTGAGCGCTTGAAGACGTGGGTTGCCCTCAGAGATCAAAAGCCATAAATGAGAAAATGTGAAGTGCTTCTAACAAGTAAGAGAATCAGGAGGATGCGACAGTCCAAAAAAATATGAAACGCTTCGTGAGAAAATGGACGACTTCGGCTGGTCCTTCCACCCAAAAATAAGGAATTGAGGCTCGATCGACACAATTTTTGTCGGACGCTCTCTGTACAAGTATGTAGGAAGATAATGGTATCCCGCATACAGTGCATGAGCCGAGGACGTGGTCGATGTTGTTCTTGTCGCCTCGGTAGCAGCAAGAACACCGTTCAGATGAATATCCCTCCTGCCTGTGCTTCAGAGGCAACGAAACAGATATTCGTGGTTGCAAGCTGGCCAAAAACAGACTACGAGCGAAGAGCATGTTGCCTGACCTTCCACCACCCCGCGAGAGAATACATTTCGTAGCCAGGAAATACACGACGATGTTACATACACCCTGTGTAATCTTGTTTGTTACCGCATAGCATCAGAGATACCTGCTGCCGGGATTGCGCACCTAGGGTCCGGTAGTCCAACGCAATAATTCGTGCGCTGTTTGAGAGAGGGAACGAAAACACACCAGTATGCTTCGAAGCACTACTGCATGTTTTTTCGGGGGGTTACTCAAAGTTGTGTGGGGCACCGCCCTCGTTGCGTCATTCAACATTATGCATTCGGTTCGCATGCAACCATTTCCAACCTGTTCATCAAATCACCTACCTATAGTGATGGTACGTAGCGCACAGACTCGGGGCTTGGGACAAGGCTTAACACACCAACAGCAGGTGCTACAGGCCACACTACTACACCATGCACCTGCAGAGAGCATTTTCTGTGCTCACATCAACCGTGCTGGGCCGAGCTGCATATTACTGCTCTGAGTGCGTAACACACACGAAACTTACACGGAGTTATTCACAGCTACGGCAACACCAAGGAGAATATTGCACACATAACCTAGCACAGGTAAAACGCAAAATACGTCGCTGTCAACACGCAACTTGGAGACATCGAATGCTGCAGGAACAAATGGGTGGTTAACCCACTTACGGATAACCCACCTACTCCATAAATAGCCACTCCACGCGACAATTATTATCACAATTGACTCCAATTCCTACGCCTACACCAGGTACAAGGACGGCCTCCGGTATGCAAGCGTTCTCGAATGGCCTTGCAGTGGGAACCTCGGAACTACCCGACTGGGGCCGATCCGTGCCCGCCCGCGCTCGAAGTTGCCGCTTGAACAGCTTGCTCTTGCAGGACACAGCAATTCGACGTTACATCCAGATGTTCCACCGTGCAGCCCCGTGCAGTACGTGCTCCCATCTTCGAGAGGAACGACTTCCTGTTCGCATGAGAACATCCAGACTGCCTGAGCAGTTTCGCCTCCTGCAAATTCCAGCGCTCTCCGACTTGCACGCTTGGCATACCTCCCACACCTTGGCGACCGGCTGCCAGAGTCAGCCTTGGCGCAATCCCGCCGACTGGCATGTCTCCCACGTCGCTGAACTCCACCTTTTGCCAGCGTTTCCGAAGACAGGCCGCGTCCAAGCCGCCGACATCGCTCCTTCCGAATGACAGCGCATCCTCGCTCCACGTTGGTAGATCGGTTGCCATAGTCAGCCTTCCAGCGAGCTCGCTTACCGGCATGTCTCCCACGTCGCCGAACTCCATCGCCTCGTGCCAGCGATTCCGGAGACAGGCCGCGTCCAAGCCGCCGACATCGCTCTTTCCGAATGACAACGCATCCTCGCTGCACGTCCGCAGATCGATAGCCAGAGTCAGCCTTCCAGCGAGCCCGCTCACCGGCATGTCTCCCACGTCGTCGTACTCCACCGCCTCGTGCCAGCGATTCCGGAGACAGGCCACGTCCAAGCTGCCGACATCACTCGTTTCAAATGTCCCATCCTCTCTGCACGTTGGCAGATCTGTTGCCAGAGCCAGCCTTGCCGCGAGGTCCCTGACTGGCATGTCTCCTACATCACCGAACTCCATCGCCTCGTGCCAGAGCTTCCGGAGACAGGCCACGCCCAAGCTGCCGACATCGCTCCTTCCCAACGACAACGCATCGTCACTGTACGTTGGCAAACCGGTTGCCAGAGCCAGCTTCCTCGCGAGCTCGCTGACTGGTCGGTCTCCCACGTCGCCGGTCTCCATGGCCTCGTACCAGCGTTTCCCGAGACAGCCTGCATCCAAGCCGCCGACATCGCTCGTTTCACACGGTGTCGTTTTGTCCCCACGGGCTAGCAAATCGGCTTCCCGAGACAGCCTTCCAGCGAGCTCGCTCACCGGCATGTCTCCCACGTCGCCGGTCTCGATCGCCTCGTGCCAGCGCTTCCCGAGGAAGGCTGCATCCGAGCCACCGACATCCCTTGTTTCAAATGGCGTCATATCCTCGCTGCAAGTCCGCAGATCGGTTGCCAGAGTCAGACTTTCAGCGAGCTCGCTCACCGGCATGTCTCCCACGTCGCCGAACTCCATCGCCTCGTGCCAGCGTTTCCGAAGACAGGCGGCGTCCAAGCCACCGACATCGCTCGTTTCAAACGGTGTCGTATTCCCCCCACGAGCTGGTAAAGCAGATGCGGATGCATCATCTCCGAAATTGCTAGACGGGATTCTGGGCGAGCTGTGCCGTTCAAGACACATTGAATCCACCCGGCCCCTTCCTGCGCATTGCGAGTCAGGGCTCCTACGCGGGCTGGCACCTGTAAAATGACTGCCAATATCGGCGTGGCCGGAGCAGCTGACGCTATCAGCTCCGTGCAACACCTGACAGGAAGTGCCGCAAAGCTCGCCCTCACTGTGCATGGGCATGAGAGAGCGTGACCTGTCATGCGATTCCCGCCAGGAAGAACGAAGCTCGGAAGAGGATGCTGCTCCAGCGGTTGCACTTGCCGTATGCACCCCGCAGCTCCATCGACGGCGAAGATCGTCGGATGACATTGCTCCTACGTCTCCTCCTAGACCAACAAACACTTCACGCCCCGTCGTTGAGGTTGGGACAACCTTCACTCTGACACGCACATCCTTTTCTTCGTACGCTCCTTCGCTGGCGGACATGGCGGCACTGGTTGCGCTAGGGCGCGAGCGCAACGGCGGCGGTAGGATCGCCAGGCGCTGAGCTAGGTTCAGCATTCGTTGCTCATCGAATCGGGCGCGGAGTTGCTCTGGGTCGATCTCTTGCTCCCGTCGGCAGAGGGCGCATGAGGTCATGTTGTTCGCGGCCGACCGTATGAGGCACGAGCGGCAGAAAGAATGGCCACACTGGAGTTCGATGGACTTCGTGCAAGAGTCTAAACAGATAGGGCATCTGGTATTTTCTTCCTTGCCTCCGAGTCCACGTGGAGGGCCAATTTGGATTCGGTACTTCTTGCAGAACCACGCGAAGAAGTAGGATGTCGTGTCGTTCAGCCGAGAAAGTATGAAAACGTCGGCAGGTGCGATTCCGGCCCGAAGAGTACCGTCTGCAGCATCCAAAGAGCAGGACATGGCGGACGGATGCGGTCACTAGTAAGCTCACGAAGGTTGCAGAATACAGCAGTTCATGCGGCAGCCGTAGTGCCCTTCGCTTCGACAACTTGCAGTGCTGCCGAACACGCAACAATACCGCCGAGACTTGTCCAGCGTCGCCCTCTATAGTACTGCATTTAGCATTTAAGGCATGCCGGGCTCCACACAAAAAAAAACGTTGTCAAGAGGGGGGATGGCGTTTCGCAGAACCAAACGAAACAACTTGAATTTCGAGCAAGGGATTAGCACTAAAGCAGCTTTATACGGGGGGGACGAACAAAAAAACTACATAATGATTGTTAAATAACGTCTTGCGCCGTAGAGATCCAAAAAACAAAAAGGGCCAAATCCAAAGCCTCTACAGTTTTTTTGAATCTTGAGGACACCCGGTCAACCAGCTACATTCGCGTTCAACCCATTTGGTGATCGGGCATACACAAGTGGAGAACCAACCGCGGCGACGCTTAAAACGACGCACAAGATCGGGCGTCTTAGCCAAATTTTGGGCTTCTGCGTGTAACTACATACAGTTCACGAGGACGAAGAATCGTTTCTCGTTGTCTGCTGCTGCTGTCAAATCATGCGACGCCACTCACACACCATATCGGTAGGCCCCAGCAGTTTCGAGCAGCGTGGTTGCTTGTGGCATGCTGTAGCTGTCGGGGAAGCACACTTTGCTGCGCTGGTTCAACCAAAAATTCGGCGGGAAAATTGTGCTCAAAAAATAAAATAACCAGCACCTCGATCTCGCGCTACAAGGCCAAACTGATAAGCGGCACATTTTTGCACGACGGGATTGCTCAAGCTGGTATGCAATCTCCAACGAGAATTCGAGGTTTGTGTCTCCTGGGGCTAGACGCCGGAGGGGATCATTGAGACTTTACAGCACGGCGGGGGCACCGCCCGGGATTTATATTCTAGCAGTTTGACCTGTGATGAAAAAAATGGTTAGGGGCAAAAAACCCATCGCGGAGCCCCGGGGGCAGGGGACGGCTAGGAGCCTGGCGTAGCCTTAACTTGAGAGTAATCTCGCCAAGGGCATGCTTGAAATGGTGTCCCCCTCAATGATTCATAGCCTACACCAGGGCGCGAAACGAGCCCTGCTGTCACTGCTGGTGTCTTCATAACCCTTACGCCACTGGGCTCATTTGACTATTTTTTTGCCTTCCCACGACTGGCTCTCTGTTCTCCAAGATCTTCTAGCATGCGTACAGCAGTATATACACACACATCACGGTGGCAAGGCACAGCAGTGACAATGAGCTCATGTGTGGGGCTCACAGGGGTGGGGGCCGCACTGAAGTAGTACGATTTGTCTAGCATGTGAGCATGTGCATGTCTCTCTCCGACAGCGAGTTTCTTTGAGCGAGTTCTGAGAGACAGATTCATCGCCGTGAAATTATTTATTTTCCAACGGCATCATTTTCGGCTTTCCTGCGTGAGACGGGAGTAGTCAATCACACATTACTGAGTTCGCAGCGTAATGGGGCGAGAAGAAGGTTTTCCGACCCGCCTGATCATCGCCGACATCCGGCACTATCGCTCGCTGTGTGGGATGTCCTCCCTGTGACTCTCATGGTCATGGTGTTGATCACTTCGGACACCTTTCAGGCCATTTTGGTATCACCCAGGAGTATTTCCACTGACGATTTCAACGCATCACCATGGATGTCCGAGTGAAGCCAACCCGAAATCGAAAATCGAAATCGAATTTCGATTTCGATTTCGCACTGTAAGTTACGAATATTGTACTCAACAGTACTCAGATATCTCAGTATTGTACTCAAACTTGAGTAAACCCCTGAGTAAGTAAGTCAAGATAGTCAATACTCAAGAGGTTTGAGTACGTACAGAACAGTTTACTTAACCATACTCAGCTACTCGAGTATTTTACTCAACCCTGAGAAAATCCTTCTCGATTATACTCGCTCGTACTACAATCCTTGAGTGCTAATAAAACTAAATATTTAATTATTAATTAAATTATATGCCACAATTTGATACAATGACTTTTTTTAACCAAGTTTTTTTCTAAATTAATTCTCAAGTAGGTATTTCATCAACACTACTCGCGCCTCACTGGCTTTTGAGTAAGTACGCATATATTCAACCGTACTCCCGAGGTGGAGTAAGTGAGTGTCGAATATCATTCTCGAGTACGCACTCAAAATACTCTTGAATACGTATGCATACGCGTGGTGCATACGTACTTGGACCAATACAACCATTTACAACTCTGTTCCTGGCACAAGAAAAGACAACTGTGATCGGTCGAAGTCTCATACAAGTGTAGACGCGAACACGTCACCCTGTCCCACACCGAAAAATTGCACACAAGACGAACCTCCTTCCAATCCCAAAAACGGGAACCGCACACATGGCAGTCACAACAACAGCAATGGTTGCAGTACACGGTACTAATCTCTCTCGTGCACACAGCACTGCTGCCCTGTAGTAACCGCCATGATATTTTCCGATTCATCATAACAGCCCTCGCGTAGCAGTTTGTTGGTTCTGGAAAGGGCATCTGCCCCACATCAGAGAGCGTAGGCATGGCAAATCGTAGTGGGTGTGAGCACATCAACGCATGTATGTCAATACCTACACCGCGCACTTCGCCGATCGACCTACACTTGCTAACGTGCGTGCGTTTTGGCGTGGGGCCGCCCCTTCGTCTTGCTGCTGCTCTATTACCGTATTGTGTATGTCTTTCTTGCGGCAGGCCGGCGATCTTCCACGCGCAAAGTAATGGGAAATGAGAACAATGAATTCGGCCTGTAGTCACATACCAATGAGGGTTATGCAGCTGACACAAGCGGTGATCGTTGCTTCGAAACCCTTCCTTGCCCAAGAGCTGTAACGACACGGTTGAGGGGGTTAAGAGGAGCTCGCGCTGGGTGGGCTTGAATCTTTCATTCGTTTGCTTTCGCGAACTGGCAGCTGGCAACAAATTATCGAGGGTCAGGTCGGAAGAATATGCTGCGACGTCGGGAAGTGTCAACCTCTATGAACCACCACAGTAGCAAAAGCACACAAGAGGCAGTTGGGAAATGTCAGGCTTCTGTCCGTTCTCGCCTCGGCTCAAAAGTTCAAACCCTGCGCAACCCCACTGCACACCCTGATGCTGAGAATTGGATTGTTCAAGTTTCAACCACGTTTGTCTGAGTTTGTGCCCGAGACTGCAGTGCTTTCAGGTGAGTCCAAGACCAGTGAGGGGAACCAAACGAACTTGAACGTAACCCCCTGGCTCAATCATGCATGCTATGCATGCATTGGCACAATGGTCTTACCCCGACTCCTTACCGTCAAGACGGGGCGTCCTGGAGCACTCGAGCGACAGAGACCTCGCCGGTTTCGGGTTGTTGAACTTCGAGTCGCCGCGCCCACGACTTCCTCCTGGCCGAGACGCCATGTCAACGTCGCCACCTTGATCCATGCTCAACTTCACTCTCCACACAGGGGATCCGATCCGTGGCGAGGGTAGAACACCTGTCGGAGTGTTCGGTTCTACAACCGCCTGCTTGTTGAGAAGCTCCGAGGGTCCCTGCGCGTCACCTACAGCAGTTTACAAGACGTTGATGATCTTCTCTCCCTCCCCTCAGCAATTGGATTTCCTCGCTAAAGCATGTATCCTGGATCGAAGAAGAGACAGGCAGGTTCCGGCCTTGACGAGGGTCCGGTGACGGCCAGGAAAATAGTTATTGGCTAGTGCTGGTGTGATGGATGTGCACACGTGAACATGATGGTGAAGTTCTTGACATGCTTCATGCTTCAAAACTTCAAAACTGGTGAGGGGTCCCAGCCCGAGAGATTGAGCGAGCGCTGGGGAGGGGGGGCCACGCAATTTGCGATCGGGCAGTTGCGCCATTTGCGCCAGCTCATTTGCGCTGTGCATCACATACGCCCAGCGCAACATATCGAGGGGCGGGCCCACACGCTCTTACGATGAATGCCGCGCCCTCCGTACCGTCTTCCAAAGAGCCCCACTACGAATTTGGTGGGCCGATTGGGGCAGGCTTGATCACCTTTTCCTTACCAATCGTGGTCCTGAGTCTCTGCTTCATTTGCGGGTGAGAACATTAGCCGGCGCACTCGAACAGGGAAGTATTTTTAGTGTCACCAACTCCTCCATTCGCACGAGCTCTAGGCGCATGTGCGATGTAACGGTTACATCACTGCTGTGCGACGACAGGCCTCTGAACAATGCATAAATTTCGCAATTTCAGGTTACTACTGTAGACCAGTCGGTGAAATACCCCACACAAATTATTCCGAAACCGTTTTTCCTTCACCAAAAGTAATGCAGAGTTTGTCACTCCCCACCGTTATTACCGTTGTACATTTTTTTTTTTCCCATCATTGGACTCCGTCGTCTGCCCCTCTGGCCCCCATCCCTAGACGACCCAACCGGGGTCACACAGGAGGGGGGGGTTGGACCCCCTCCTGCGGTTCCTGCCTGAGAAATTTTTATCGCGAGAAGGGTACAGCAATCCCTGCCCTCGCGACTTACTAAGTCGATTATGGTTTACTCAACGAACGAGCTTCTGCAGCGCGTCGTTTTCATCTAGACCAGGATTTAGTTAGGGAGGAAAAACTCACTCTGCCGGGACTCGAACCCATGACCTGGCCCTTAGCAGGCTGCGAGGGTACCCACTAGACCACCGGGGCAACCGGTGTACATGTATTAGGATATAGCGGAGCCAGGGGGTTAAAAGTGGGGGCAATACGCCAACGTGTCTACCAACGTCACTGGTGTCACCCTTTTCAGTTGAGACGTAGACCAGTCATATCTCTAGTGCGGACATTCGCCAACGTGTCTTCCAACGTCACCTTGGTGTCACCCTTTTCAGCTAAGACGTAGACCAGTCTTATCTCTGTAGCGCGATGCCTTCAACGGGCTTCGTCGCTTTTTTTCCCCTAGCATCTACTGTCCAGGGCGGCAGTCGATGCCTTGTGCCGTTCGTATGCATATGATTCCGGCTGTGGTAGCAGGAGGAAGGTAACCACTGGGTTTCATTCGTTTAATCCCTTGTTGACCTTGAAGGCGAACATCATGGGCTCCTCAACTACTCTAACCGTTTCTCACATGCACATCGTACCGGCGTGTTCGAGTGTAAGAAAACCGACACGTCGTAGAATGCACAAGGCCATGCCGTGTTTCTCACATGTGCTTATCGCTCAATTCTAGCTGACGGTAGCAAGCCAGGCGCGATGAGACAGGAAAACAAAAAAACTAAGCGGGGGACGGGTGTCTACACAAGCCCTTTTGTTGATGTGAGTCTTGGGTATTGCAGCAAAGGATCGCGCCGGAGTCCAACCACAATGTCATGATCTTTGGTAGTGCTGCGCGCAAACAGATTTCATGCGATGTCTATAAACTAAAAGTGTTTCGTGTTCGTTTGCTCTTCAGCAAGGAATACTGCTTGCAAGGACTACGGTTCGACACACTCGGCGGAGCATTGGAACAGCTTCCAGACAGCTTGGGCGACCTATTCTCTCCGGTTGCTTTCACGATTGTCTCTCAGTGGCTTCTGTTCCAAATCCTGCTGGACCGCGTTTTGCCAGGAAAGGTGAGCAACAAGTCGAATCGAGGTTATGATCCTACATCAAGCAGCGCGATCGCAAACCCTGGCCCCGAACAGAACCGCACACACGTGCTCTGAAAATGTGGAACAGTTAACGAGCGACACTCTGCTTGAGAAACGCCACGCGTCTCTCGCCCTGCGGCTTGTGGGAATTAGGGGTCGTGCTCCACCCCATGTCGGAGGTTTTCTTAGGATCGACCCAGTGTATCGTCTAGACTCGGGATCTGCAGACCTTCACCTTTTGTCATGAATGCCGGCCGCTGTTGTACGCCGACAAAGATGATATTTCCCCGCCTCTACTGTTTGTGCCCAGACTGTGGAAGGAGTGGTTTTACAAGATGGCTCTCGTCTTGCGTACAAGATGAGTGGGCACGCAGCTTTCTGGACAACGTTAGTGGTCACGTAAGTTCTGTAGAGTACCCGCCTTCGCCTTGTGTCACGGATTTTAGGACGTGGAATGCGATTGCCCAAGCATGCACTCCTGTGAAATGTACTGCATGCCTCGTTGGTGAGTACCACCACTTGCCCTCGAAGTTTTGCAGCGTTCTCCGTGCACGCGTGCGCCAACTCAAGACGTTCCTGTTCAGTGAGAGCAAGTGCGAATATTCAACTATTTATTGATGTACACCCTCCTCTCGGCTTTTACCCAGGGCACTTGGACTCTCGGAGCTCGGTGGTGTGGGGTCTATTAAGCTGAAGTTATCTGCCCTGTATGATCTGTACGAGGAGCTTGCAGTTGCAAGCGCCACGGTTTCGTTCGCGTTAAGCGTTGGGCTGTTCGTCGCCTCTCATCGAAAAGGGGCTAAGCTTGCTGACGCTTCGGGAACAGTTGGACGGAGCGCCATCTATGACTTCTACATTGGCCGTGAGCTCAACCCACGGATTGGTCCTTTGGACCTGAAGTGCTTCTGCGAGCTGAGACCTGGTCTCCTGGGATGGGTGGTCATTAACTTGGGCATGCTGCTCAAGCAAAAAGAGCTTCAAGGATACGTATCAGCCTCCATGATCATGGTCAACGTCTTTCAGGGTTTATACGTGTGGGACGGCCTCTTCTTTGAGAGGTCAATCCTGACCACAATGGATATCACCACCGAAGGCTTCGGTTTTATGCTGGCTTTCGGGGACCTGTGCTGGTTGCCCTTTACCTACTCCCTTCAAGCTCACTACCTGGTGACCAACGATCCCGGACTTCCCTTTTGGGCTGTTACCGTCATCAGCTGCTTGTGCCTGGTTGGGTACGCTATATTCCGGTAAGACCTTGTTTTCGAATCGACAGCGTCAGATGGTGGTGTGGCGTTGGATGGAAAACCCCACACCCCTCGCTGTCTGCGCGTCACAACGGTATTCGTTGCGTCGAACCGTAGTCCATCATGTACGAGCCTAGTTTCTCGCTGTGCTTCAGTACTTTTTCTGCGCCCCAGGTGACCCCGTGACTCCGTCTCTCCCGGCGATTCGGTTTGCGACAGGGACAGACGAAATTGCCGGCATTGTGTTCTCCCCAACAGGTTCAACAAAAGTGGGAATAGATGCAATGGTTTCAAAGCCAGAACTTGACTTCAAGATAATCGCAGTGTCGGCGGCTGCCCCAGCAGATAAAGAGTGTTCCGAGTGTTCGCATCGACCGGCGCCGGCTCAGCTCTCAGTACTACGACTATAATGTAACTACTGTTTCCCGAAAGTACCGGAAACTATTTATGCTCTACTGCTGGCGAGGCGATATGGCTACCATGTGTACGTCGATGTATCCCTGTGAAGAACGACTCTCTCCTACTTTCGAATAACCTGTCGACCTGATCCCATTTTTTCGTAAAATTAGGGGTGCCAATGGCCAAAAAGACGCCTTCCGAAGGGACCCCAACGCTAGTGCGGTGTCACACCTACAATGGATGCCAACTAAGCGAGGAACCAAGCTCCTCACATCGGGATGGTGGGGGGCCGCTCGCAAGATTAACTACACGGGAGACTGGCTCATGGGTCTTGCCTGGTGTATGTTTGCAGGGTTTAGTTCTCCAGTGCCGTATTTCTACTGCATATACTTTGGGGTGCTTTTGGTGCATCGAGCCATGAGGGACGATCACGCTTGCGCAGCCAAGTACGGCTCTGACTGGAGCGTGTATAAGCAGAAGGTTCCCAGCTTGTTCGTACCAGGTTTGTTTTAATATAATTCTCCCCGCCTTTGACACATTGGATAGCGGAGATTGGAACCCATTAAAAGGCAGTTGGGAAAGTAAAGTCACTTTGGCTGAAGAGTTGGTCCGTTGATTATTCTCTCTACAAAAATACAAGAAAGTTCAACTATTTTCTATTTGCGGCGTCTTTTGGTCTAACTACCTCCTCTTCTTTTCGATCGTCCTCCTTATCCCTCAACGATAAACTGTCGATCGCCTTGGCCACATCGGCTGTGGGATCTTCGTGGCATGTGGAGAAATGCCTCATGTCTTCGAACATGATCTGTTGTAGGTCCTCCTTCGGTATGTTCCCAGTCCCGAAAACACGCTCGTATTCGAAGTCAAATCGCTGCCCACACATTGGCTCCGCCATCTGCTCGGGCGATCAAACAGGCACGAGTAAATCCAAAAATTGAAAGTGAACCCATCCGTCAGCATTCTCAATCCACCACAAAGTGCGGCTAATGCATCGGGAAGTTCAGCAGTACTGGGTGCTTGGCATACATGACATCGGACACAACGCCCACATTGCCCAGATAGCTCCTGCCACCATTTGTCGAACTAAAGAGCACGATGTACGTGGTGAGAACGCGAGAACGGACTCCGAGGGACCATGGGCGTGCGCGCAGTACTCGGTGTATCCGTCACGTATTATGTGGTGGTAGGAAGTTGCTGTAATTGATACATCCAACACGTCACTAGAGGAGTGTAGTGACGTGGACACAACCCACATATTTTTGCTACAATATTTTCAGTGCGTCGTCGTATTCGAGGCACAGTAGGTTCAAGTCAATCTCACATCACCTGGCCGTGGAGGTCCGCAAGATACGAGTGCTCCAAGGCCTCGTCGACGGTGATACGATGTTCTGGATGGAACACGAGCTGTGGGACGAACAACACCGCGGTGTTGGTGACAAGGTTAGTCTATGGGTTGCGCACAAGCTCAAGCTCTTTCCGGCTCCATTTGAAGGATCGTCGGGGGCATGCCAACAGCTGCTGTTGGTCGCTGCCAGATGCAAAATGCCATACCAGCCGCTAGCCCATGCGAGACAAGAAAGCTCGATTCGAGGCACGAAGAACAAAAACGATTGTGTCCTGTCGCAGCACGCACCATTCGCCGTAGCAAGTCCAACGCCAATGGGCTCGCGTCCGCTGGAAAGTACGACTCCAAATCCTTCGGCTTGGCGTTTGCCTTCGACATGATAGCCTTTCGTGCAGCAGGGTGCGTGACGAACGACAGCTGCTCCTCCGGGGGTAGCCCGAGTACCGACACGATGGTCTCTAACTGATGGTGCGGATTGTGCCCCTGGAAACAATGGCAACAAACCATGGGTTGCGGGTTGACTGCGTATTGGCAAATGCGGGCTTGGACATTGCGGAAATTGACACGACTCGAACTCGCGGGCAACAACAATAGACAACTCGAACCGCCGCTTCCTTAGAGAACGAACGTGGACTCCATCACAAACCTGGAAGAAAGGACGTCGGGACAGCATTTCGGCAAATATGCATCCAACGCTCCACACATCGACAGTTTTGCCGTAGTGCGTGGAGTCGCACAGAAGTTCAGGGGCCCGATACCACCGGGTCACCACGTATTCCGTCAATTCATCCTCATACTCCAGTTCGACGCCTCGAGCAAGACCGAAATCGCAGATGGCGAGGTCGCAGTTCGCGTTGACCAGCAGATTTGATGGCTTCATATCCCGATGCAGCACGTTAGCGCTGTGAATGAACTTCAATCCACGCAGAACCTGCACCAGCGTACAACGAAAAGTGTCAAGCGGACTAGATATTGTTTGAGGCCAGCACAACAGTTCCATGTGGCAATGCACGGAGTCCGTGCAACAAACAGGACACATGGAACAATATGCAACTCGGTGTCCTGACGTGGGTCTCTAGCGTACTGTACCAAAATAGCGCGGAGCAAATTCCCTTATACCCCGGCGAGGGAGAGGCTTCAAAGGCAATTATTAGAGATAAATGTTTGGTTGGTTGCGGCCATAATTGCCCACAGACTCGTCCCTTGAGCCAAGAGGAGGATTGCAGATAATGATGTGTGGGTGTTCGGCGGCGAATGTTGCCTTCGAAAAAAACACTAGATCCAATCAAAGCTTCCCGAACCGATCCTAGATGTCAGGAAACAGCTCCAAAACAAAACTCGACTTGTAACAAACCCGTAAGCTTCGGACTAAATAGTAGTGCCCACGATACGCACGGCCATCGGATATGTACAACGATGTGACCAGTGTACAGTAGCGGCAACGGCTTGAGAAAATGTTTTGAGAGAAGGTACCGATTTAAGCGAGTCGAACTGGCTTGTCAAGACCAAAATCGATATAAGAGAGGATTTGCAATATTCCTTAGATTTCTCTTTAATCGAACCTCTGAAAAAGAGCCACTTTAGCCGTCACATACACAGCTGTCATTATTAGACACCATGACCAGCACGCAGCCATTGCACAGCGGTCCCCGATCACATGTCAGGCCCATCACCAACTTCAAAAATATCCCATGAACTACGAACAGCGAAAATTCGTATCACACGCCACCATGACTAATATACACTCGTGTGTGTACGTGTGTACCCGGCACCTGCGGTGGGTACATCTCTCGCCAAGACACCGATTGAGCATGCGTGATGTAACATTAGACCTATGCCGTCCACAGACTCTTTGAGCTGGTTCTAGTGAGAGCGTCCATCTTCCATGGCCTTCATAATGCTACGGTTTAAGAGAAACTCTCTTAAATCATGTTCACGGTTCGAATAATCTCTTTAACCGTAGCAAACACGATATTAGAGAAAGCCCGATTTACGAGAAAAGTTGACACGCCGCTCTCTTAAACCGTAGCCGCTACTGTAGTCCACGAAACAGGAGCCCACATGTGGGCTAGGTTGAGAGCAAAGGCCGAAAGAATACAAGTCCGGTGAGACAAGCCCGCTCATCGTACTTTGGACACGCCCCCAGTAGCCCTACTCATGCCGCTCCACGGAAGTTTCAGCTGTACCGGCCCTCGACATTTGGCTACAAAAATGCACTTTTTATCGAATAAGTAGGTACGGGGAGGCATACGCTTTCTGACCCACGTTCTGCGGCCAACTCGTCAAGGGCTGGCGCAGAAAATACGTAGCTTCCGAGAACGAGCAAACCAGAAGGAGCGGAACATGTTCTCATGATCGTCTGTGGTTTCTCGCGGGTCCTGCGATAGACCAAACTCGAAAAAAAACTGTCATTCGTTTTCATGGCCAGCAGCGCGAGGCACCTGTCTTGATGACTGTTCTTTTTCTCTGCATAGAACTGGGCCGACATCTGACCCATCGACGTGGGTATGAGAGTGATCCTGTGGTGGTGGAGGCGTGTGTGCTGAGGGGGAAGCGCTTCTGTGTGCGTTGGTTCTCTCTGGGACGCCTTGGGGACATTCTTGCTCTACCTTGTGGCATCGTCCTCAAGCAACACGTGCCCGTATCGGGACAAGGAATACTTCTGCAGCTTCCAATTGAATTGACTTTGCTCGCAATGTCCACGTCGGAGATGGAACTTCACACTTTCACATGTTCGAGCAGCATTAAACAAGCAACGACACATTAAACGAGGACACACGTGGCTCCAGTTCTAAAATCAAGTAAAAAAACGTTGGTCGCTGAATCTAGAAAATGAAATTGGGACATTCGCCGTGGTATTTGCTGGTCGATTGCTGGTTAATCTCGACGTTGTAACCGTGCTAGATAATTTACAGCTCCAAGCCCTGGAGTACTGATGCACCACCTGGTAAATGAAGTATTGGAAGTGTTGATCGGTGAGGGGCTGTCCAGACGCGATAATGCGGTCCATGTCGGACTCCATCAGATTTGTCACGATGTACACGTCCTTGAAGTCAGTCGTGTCTGGAGGAATCGTCATGATGTCGGCAATCGCGACAATGTTCTCGTGGCCATCGAAATGCCGAAGTAGCTTGATTTCCCGCACGATTCGCTTGGCATCGACCAGGTCGCTGAACACGTCGCCAACTTTCTTGATAGCCACCTGCCGTCCCTCAACCTGAAGTCAGTTGCAATCAACGTACCGTTTGTTGGTCATCAGGTCGGGGTCACAAACAAAATTCAAACCAGCGACCGCGCTGAAAAAATGCCTCAGTTGGTATGATTCTCCATCTCAACCTGCCAATAATAGATGTCCTGCTCACGCTTCTTCACCTAGAGCAAAGACACACCACACGAGCATCCTGAATATCACCCCATATATCAGGGGCACGTTGATTAAATTGACGATTGCTTCAAGTGAAGACAATCCAACCTGGAAATAGCGATTCTTTCGATCCTATTTCGTACAACACATGCACGCCAAACATCATTACTGCCAGTCCTGGACATGAACAAATACGAGCGATGAACGTTGAACATTGTGACAAGGCCAGCGAGCACGGTGTGGCGGAAACCTTCCGTGTACACTAGCATTAGCTTAGAAATCTTGTGCAAAAACCTCCGCGCACTCGGCTTCACCCGTACCCGATATGTTTCGTTTTACTTCGTTTGCCCTCTCGTAAACACCAGCAAACAAGGGGTGGTATTGTTTCGTTTGTCGGCGTCATGCCCCCTTCGCTGTCGTTGGTGTAGTGGTGACCATACAACCATTAATGATGGAGTATATGTCTGGGGAACCTTGCGTGAACAACGTACGGCCCTTAGTTGACCTTGAAAAATTGTCTCTGAAACATGACCTGCTACACTGCACGCTTTCCCTCTCCTCTCTGTCGTCGAGTATGCATGCCAAAGGGAAGCCCTGTCTGGCGGCTCGAAAGACGAAACAAGAGTTCCCGGCATACGCTGTTCAAAAAGTACGAAAAAACACATTAGTTGACCTCAGCCGCGGGCATCACACCGAATCCTCTATCGGCGCTTCGTAGCCTGTGCATAATCGTTGAAGTACGACAAAAGGCTTCGTTCGTTGGAGCCTTCGCGCAAAAATATGCGCAGGTGGCTCTTGCGCGTGGGCCGGTACGGTTTCCCATCCTGCTCATCGTAGTATGTACATCGAATGCAAGCTCACACCGAACACTTACGCACACCGCCATATGTTACATCGATAAATCATGGGTTTCGACTACCGGCAGGAAATTGGAAGTCACCGTAGAGTCCCAACACAAGAACGTGCGGATCCATATCTACAATGCTCACACCGAGGACTTACACACACCGCCATAAGTTACATCGACAAATCATGGGTTTCGACTTCCGGCAGGAAATTGGAAGTCACCGTAGAGTCCCAACACAAGAACGTGCGGATCCATATCTACAATGCTCACACCGAGGACTTACACACACCGCCATAAGTTACATCGACAAATCATGGGTTTCGACTTCCGGCAGGAAATTGGAAGTCACCGTAGAGTCCCAACACAAGAACGTGCGGATCCATATCTACAAGCAGCGCACCCTGCTACTTCCATCTTCGTGAGTAGACTACAAAATCTACACACATCGTCTAGTGATTACTCACAGAATCCTCCGCGGAGCACACAAAGCCATAACTCCCGTCGCCAATAGGCTTGAGATCCGTGTACCTAGGGGGGGGTGGATGTGTCACAAAGCATGGGCAGGTGGTGAGGGCACGAGCAGCAGCGATGGCATGACATGATGTGGTCGAAGCATTCATGTGGATATTACTACAAATATTTGCTGTTCTGCTGTACAACATGCAAACGTTGACCAGCAGATGGAGATATTAGGATGTTACAAACGAACGAATTAACACAGACCTCGTGTCAATTTCAAAGCTTTCACGCCCCACAGAGAGCTTATGGTACTTCCTCCCCATCTTTGCAGCAACTCCACTCTGGGTTTGTGGCCCGCCGCTGTGTTGGTCGCGCTGCGCGGTTCTTTTTTCGTGTAGGGGATCGCGCAGATGGGAAGGTTCTTGTATATCTCTCTTTCGCTGTGTGTGCCCCCCGGCGCGGAGGGCGGCGCTCACCCACATGCGCAGTGATGTAGTGCTCACTGCTGCTGTGTACTATGCGGAAAAGAAGTGCCGATGGAGAAACGGACTCCCAAGAAGTCATTGCCAATCGGAGAAAGGCACGCGTGTCTGGACGGTTTAGGTATGTGATGTGTCCTGCTTTCAATTCCGTTGTGGTTTTGCCCAATTAGCGCACGGTGTGTCTCTTACAATACACCGGCAGCGGCGATACATGTAGTGGACACTTACGATATACTCCCTGCTACCCCACCATCTCTCGTTGTGGTGTTGAGAACAGACTGATGGTTGTTCGCTGAACTAATTTGATCCCGCCATCCACTCCAACCTCAGCAAGGAAGTGAGTGTTGTTTGGGATTTCCTTCGCAGACCCAAGCAAGAAATTGCGTTCAAATTTCACTACAGCAGAACCAACCCTCGGCCTCCCCTCTCCCTCGGGCAGGCAATCTCTCGAAGCCAAACCTGCCACGACTGCCCCTTCAGTGTTCGCCGGGATGACAGGAATCACCCCTAATCCCGGTCTCGATTACGGAGCGGGTGCGTCAGGCCGGCCCGCTAAAAACACGTTTTATCTGGGCGCGGCACCAACCTCTGCCGCTGCGGGTAACTTTAAGTTTGGGTCGGGGGCATCAGGTGAACCCGCAGGAGGAGGTTCCACCGGGGTCGCTACGGCTGGGTTCTCCTTTCTGAACAAACCACCGGCGGCCATCCCGGCAGCTACTTTTTCTAAGCCACCAGTTATGCCGAAGGCAAGCTCCCCGCCAGTCCCTGTTTCAGCATCTCCAGACACCGCTGCATCTACACTGGACAGCGCTCGTTGGGTTGGGGGGGCGTTTGGCGAGGGCAAAACTGCTGTGCAAGGCGCCCGCTTGAACAAACGATTCTTGAGCTGGGTATCCAACCATCTCGCTGAGGGCGAGTTGTTCCTGGACAGTGGCATGAGGGAGTATGCGGCCTGCGCTGCCGAAATTCGTGATCGTGCCAACCACGCTGAGGCCGGAGCGGTGTCATCTACGGCGTTCCTTCACCCGCGTGGGTCTGCTGCGGCTGTACCTCCGACTTACACCGCGCAGAAACTCTCGGAGGATTCAATATCTAAGGCAGCTGAAGCGAGCGTTTCAACCGCCACCCCTTCCGTCACAGCCCCTGCTTCGGCGCCGGCTACTGTTGTGAAGTCAACGCCGGCCTTTTCCTTTTCAGCGCCGTCAGCTCTTCCGGCAGCTCCATCTGGGCAGCGTTTTTCTTTTGCAGTTCCTTCAACCCCTGCTCCCGGTTCTACCTCCGGAGCACTAACATCCGTCGCCCCGCCGGCGACGTCACCATCGGGTGGATTCAAGTTTGACGGCGGGGGATTGGGTGCCGCTGGCTCATCTGCTGGTGCCTTCAACGGTGAGAGCACGACGGTAGACTACATGATACTTCACCTGTTCATGCCCACTCCTGGTACTGCTAGTGCATCTGCATCTGAAACACGCGGAAGGTTGAGAGAATTTACGAATTTCTGTTGTTTTCAGTGTGCCCATGCGGTGTCCTTCCCGATAGTTATGTTTCCTTATGTCTCGACAACACTCTGTCGGTCGACCCATACAGGCTTCAAAGTACCTTCCGGAATAGCAATCCCACCACCGGTAGCTGCGGGGAGCTCTGCGGCCGACGCAGAAGAGGACGGAATGCCAAAGGAAGACCCGTCAAAGCTGGAGAGAGCACCCGGAGAAGAGAACGAAGAGGTGCCGAAAAAAGAAAACCACTCAGAAGTTCCGCCGCGTTGCCTCATACTACGGAGTATGTTTTGCGGAACGGGCGCATGTCGGAATTACTCCAATTTCGATGGCAGGGCGATCACCTGGACCACCCAGCCCAGGAATGCTCTCTTTCCGCCATACCTCTCGTATCGAACACCAGCGAGGAATATCAAGTACACGACACGAAGACATGGCTTGGAGCTTTCTTTTCGACAACGTCCACTCACGAATTTTGCAATTTTGCGCTTGTTGAGATACCGGAAGCGTTGATCACGGAGCTGAGCATAGAACCGAACAACAAGGAGTTATTAAACGGTTTGGTCGTTTTGTCCATTGGTGGAATCATCAGGCTATCAAAATCTACTCCTTTGGTAAGATGTCGAGGGCCTCGTGCGCCCATGTGGATGACAATCCCTGTTGCCCTTGTTGTATCTATATTCTTACCCGGCTTCTAAATCATCCTTGCCCACGCTGCGTGTTGTACTTCCCGCAGGTAGTGGGGACTTTCCGGGCGAAGCTGTTCCGCTTCAAGATGGAGGACAAGACATGGGGCGACATGGGAGTGGGAATGTTGCGTCTGATGAAGCATACGACCAATGATTCCCGGCGACTTGTTCTCCGAAACGATATGGGCAAGGTGAGGTTGTAGCTTGTATTGTGCAGTGCCAACGAGTGTTATGAGCATCCCCGTTTACGATAACGGTTTATGCGAGAATGTGGTGTGGCGTGGTCTAGCGAGGAACAGACGCAAACAGATCCCCATGGTTATTTCGATGATTTCGATGTACCTGGCGAGGGTAGCGCTCAACTCAGACAGACAGCTACCGGACGTGAGTTCCTTCAAAATCAAGGGCTTGGTTTTTCCTCGTGTAGAGCTTGTTTTTGTAAGACAAATGTGGGTCGGTGGATGTACAAGCTAGCTCCATCATGAGCATGCGAGTCATGCACATATTGGGGTCATCACACGTGGGTGCATGAAAATAGCAAGAACCGAATGATGCAGTCCTATTTTCGTACGTGGGTGTGTCGGAAATATCGCGCAGTGCTGCGACAACCCCAGAGAAAGAAATTGGGCGTGAAGTTGTGTGCTACCGCGAGCGTCATTGCACTGAATTGGTCGCAGTGCTGACATTTTGCCAATTCAGCGGGAGCGAGCTCCACTGCTGCTTTGGAGTAGGACCGTCGCAGACCACCCGTGAAAATGGAGGAATTGTTGTCATTGAATGGGTTAGCGGTATCCATCACCAAGCAAAGACGCCAAGAATCTCGCGTACTCTCACCTGCATCTAGCCTGTTGGCACTGAGCACTCGTGACGGAAGGGTCGAACGAGGGAAATGAAGCAGCAACCAAGAACACGTTCTTTGTTCATGGCACCTGACCAAGCTCATTTACCTTGTTTGTCACACTACAGTACGCACTGTACATGATCTTAGCGCCTCATCTATGCTGGTATGTATTGTGCACCGCACACACCGAAGTTGTCGCGTAGCTTTGCGAATTTTAAAACTTCCAGCATCGCGGCTGCCGGAGACTTCGATCAGTATCGCACGTGATGGCGTTGTCGCACATGAGTGTGCGTTGAGAAGAAGCAGGTATCGGAGTCATCGCACGGCGGTGGGATAAAACGTCAAGAATCGAATTATTTCAAGAGCCTTTCTCAAGGTTGCGATGAGTCACATCGGTGCGTCGATCTCCTTGACTTACGGGCGTCAGTCAAGTTGTGCGCAAAGCCGCGACTATCGAAAATCGCGATAGTCAGCGTGGAAACACATTCCAATCCCAAAAAATGATATCCCTCCCACCCCCCACCCCCCATCGGTGTTTGCCATCGGGATTGGGTTTTCGTCGCTTGGCAACGACGTTGTAAAACAAGCCAATTTACTTCGTGAGCTCGGCAACCAGGTTACCTTTTCTTTTTTACCTCTGTTTTTTTTTTTGGCGGTAACCATTATGCCATTATGCTGGTCGAGTGGATCATGTTGTGCGGGGTGGAGAACCCTCACTCCGCGCAAGAAGGATGATCTCACCACGTTGTGTTAAAATGGTCATGCACCCTCGAGGCAGTTAGTTACACAGTGCTTACAACTGTCTCTGGAAGTGAAAGCACCAGAAAATAAATTGAGTCATCCGCAGCTGTCATCCGTACGCAGGGAAGTATGCACAAGATGCCGAACACCCTTAGCAGGATGCAGCGCACCCTTCATGCGACTCGCCGAATATCTCACGGCGCTTCGCGCTTGGTGATGTGAGAGCCTGGTCCGGTGAGAACCCGGCGTGCTCCGNGTCCCCCCCCCCCCCCCCTCCCCTCGCCTGCCAGGTGCTTCTCAACGCGGCAGTGTACAAAGGAATGTCGGTAACTAAGGCAAAGAACATGATCAAGTTCGCGGCCAATGTCGGTGATGGGCTTACATCTTTTATGGTGAAGGTCACCGCTGACGAAATTGACGATCTCCACACCCGCGTGGTGGGGCTGGTGCCTCGGTCATAAAGTATTAAGTGACTGTCCTTTTCTTGAGGGTGCATGGGAGTGTACCATGATAGACTGACTCTTAGTCGCTGGTACGGGTGTTTTTTTTTGTGGTACTTTATGGAGCTGTGAGACATTGGAGAGACGTAAAATTTTGGAGATAAGCTAAAGACGGGTCTGAAGCCATTGGAAGAGAAGGTGTGCTCCAGGTTTGGCTATGTAGTGGTTTGGTGCTTCTTTTCTTGGTGTGCCTTACAGTAGTGATTTTATGTTGATGCTTGGGCCTCAAAGGCACCTGTCACAGCAGCATAGTACCACTTGTCGGACCGTGCACTCACGCAGCGTTCTAGCGTAGATTAGGTACGACAGCCATGCTGCCGGCTGCCTGTGTTGCGACTATAATACAATGTCCAATCCAAAGACTCGCATGATAGTACTTGCTCTGGGAGACTTCAAGGCATGTAGATGACAGTAGATGTGGCGTGGACCTCTCCACTCGCCGGAGCGCGCAAACTCCTGTAAATTGCCGTTGGACTATTTCGATCTCGGTCTGAGCAAAAGAAATTGAAGCATTGAACCTATATCGCCACCACGCAAGTAGTACCGAACCTTTTCCCACCTCCGCAATTCTACATCCTGTTGACATGATCGTCGAGTGTCAATTTGTTTTGTTCCATTGCATTCGTCTACATACCATGGAGTATACGGGTATTCGATAGTTCTAGAACCAGGGGCACACGAAACACTCATCATTCCGTCAAGTAGGAGCTCTACTACACATTTCCCCCGCCTTCCACACCCTCAACACTCCGCAACCCCGAACTGTGGGGGCAGTTGGCCGGAAGTCAGGTTGTACGGACCGAAGTCATCACAATTATCAATTTCCACGCTGTACATACCATGCCTTTGTTCTAACGTGGAAATATTGTGTGCAACATGCTGCAAAAGGGGCAATCAATCTCAAAATTAGACGAGCCTATTTCGCGTAATAAACGTTCACGCTGTCTTCTCGTTAACAGGTGCCGTGGCACGCCCGGATGATTGTCGAGCTTGTTCCGTGCGACGAGCCTCCTTTCGCCTGTTGTTGATGTCTTTATAAAGCATTTCTCGATAGTCAGCAGCAGAAAACTTGGTGTTGTCGTCGATGACACCCTTGTCGATAGTAATCTGCACACGGAGCGAGGGAAAGAGGGAAATATTACGTTAATTATAAAATCAGCGCCAAAGCGCCATGAAGGTGACAGAGGTCCGTACACCCAACCTCAGCAATCTAGAGTACCGTGCGAACGAATATCAGCACAAATGCACCATTTCGTGGCGTCAACAGGAGCAGGGCGTTCCGCGCCGACTATTATGCTGATAGGCTTTATCCCCGTGTTAGATACCCCTACCTGGATTGCCCCGTGTGGGTAGTCGGGCTCGTCGTCCGGGTTGTGAAACTCGGCAACGTACGGGTGCTTGAGGGCGTCAGCAGCACGGACGCGCTTGTCGGGGTTGAATTGCAGGCATTGGGACATCAGGTCCAGAGCCTGCGCTGACGCGCTTGAAAAAACCTCGTTCAAGGATATTTGTCGGGTTGGTGGGATGGATTCGAGCATCGTCCCGGCGAACGGAGATTTGATGGACTGGACGTCCTCCGGTGAAGGCCGTCCGGTAGATTCCATTATTTTTTCCAGCTGGGATGGTCGATGCCAGCAGAAAACAAGACGCGCCAAATGGACCATGTTGGATTGGAGCCCCCAACACATTATCGTCAGCGTAGAAGTTTGACGCGATACCCAAAGATTGATGATACATACCTGGCAGTTGCTGAAACCACAAGCGGGGCACGTACCGGAGGGCCCCAACAGCATGGACCTACAGAGCATCGATATTTGTCTATACAGTACACTGCGTTGTCACACCTGATTCATCGTGGAAGTCCCAGGAAAAGTTGGCCTGCCACTCAACATTTCTCCCAGGATGCACCCAACCGCCCACATGTCGACTCCTTTCGTGTAGCGAGGCGACCCGAGCAAAATCTCAGGGGCCCGATACCAACGAGTCGCGACATAATCTGTCAAGTGTGGTTGAGGCCCAGCTGTCTCGGCGATGTTTCTGCACAGACCGAAGTCGCACAGCTTCACGTGGCAATCGCTATTAAGAAGTAGATTGCTAGGCTTGATATCTCGGTGCAGGAGATCAGCTGAGTGCATAAATTTAAGCGCTTTCACCAACTGGTAGATGATGTATTTCTTGTGGATCTCCTCCAGAATGTTGGCTCGAATGACGGCGTGGAGGTCTGTCTCTGTGTCGTCGGCAGGGCAATATGGGGTGATCGGAAGTGTAGGTATTAGTAGCGATCAGTCTGTGAATGTTTGGACAACTCAGACTTTCTTTCGTGGACGTATCCGCGGGCATGTTCACCACCCTTCCATGTCCATGGGCGTGTCTATGGACAAGCCCCACTCTCTCTGCTTGAATACTGAGAGAGTAGGTGAAACCAGAGAAGACCAACGCTAACCGTGACCCCAATCTTGACCACCAACAGATGATGATTCTTCAGTCGCAGTGACGCCAAGGAAGGTTGAGAGATGATCTGGCGTACATGTGTCCATTGGTGAGGGAGGGTTGCGTGCATTGTAAAAGCGCTATATAGACGATACTGTACGTTGGTGACTATTAGAACGCATCAGACACCACGACGCCGCAAGAATTTTGTCGAGGCTTTCGGGTGGACAGTACAGTGTGGGGACAACCGACTCCCGCGGAGTATTTTTCGTGGCCGTCCCTGGATCTGGGTTCGTTCTATAGTCGACAGCGCTATGAACGTGTTAGTGAGTGTCCACGAAAAGTTGACACTTCAAATATATCATGAATACAGCAACGCGGTATGATGCTGCTTTCTTCTGAAGGCAGAAGATACGCTGCTTGATTGTCTGGCATATTATGTGGTAGCCTGCAGCAGTATGTGATTTATAATACTCCAAGTTTCAACGGCAGGCATCTTCTGTGAAGTACATTTGCGCAGGGCTCTCGGTGCCATTCATGTCTTTCGGGTTTGACAGTGGAGCTCATGGGACTGCTTCGTGTGACTATGTGCACTGCTGTGTGTGCTGTAGACGGTAGTGTCCGAGCTCTGAACAGCAAGTTCAAGATGATCGGCAACAACAGCTTTTAGCTGACGTACATCACGCGTTGCCCCTCACCCATATGGTCGAAGGTAAGGTAGATGTCCCGCCCATTTTCAGCCTTTACTACATGCTGGAGTCTTATTAGGTTGTCGTGTCCAGCCAGAGCTTGCAGGTACATGATCTCCCGGAACGTACGCTGAGCATCGGTGGCGTTTCTGAAGGCATCGAAGCACTTCTTCAGGGCCAGGACTTGACGAGTACGTTTTTCGATGGCCTTCCAGACGACGCCGTATGCCTGCGAGGGAAGCGCCATGACTCTTAGAAGGCCCAGAATAAATGAATGGCTCTAGGCTTAGTATGCATGCAGTACGCGTTTGTAAAATATGGCAGAACTCACCCCTTTGCCAAGTTTCTGGCAAATCTCGAACCGACGCAGCACATGCTTGTCTATTTCTTCGCTCATGAGGATAGTGGTTTGCCGTTCCCGCCTCCGAAGTCCAGGGATGATGAATCGGGCTCGGTTTCAGTAGGGTGTTGAAGCAGAAGTTGCGATTTCCCTTGGAGTTGATGTTTCCCACATGACACAACGAAACCGATGTCTCTCTCCACTCATCTGGAGTTTTTCTACACTCTACGCAATCTCGTCAAACAAAAAAAGCGAGATTTTTGTAACGGCGACCGCAGGAGGAACGCTTTGGTTGGAACTCCACGCGGGCGACTACGTCATCAAACACACACCAACACAGCACAACACCTTTTCCCGTGCCTCGGCATTTACCACCTCGCCTTTACAATCTATCCCCGGACCGATCGAAATGGAGTTGCCGCCACTTTCGTGGGGAATCATGGGTGCCGGGCGAGTATGTCATGATTTCGTCCAGGTGATCTTGCCATTGACCATGTTGGTGCCGTTGTTGGATTTACCCGCACACACATTGCATACAGGGGCATGTGAATCTTTGACTCTTATCACAGACTCGCCCCATGATATCGGCTTGTATTTGACTTGGATCTTCACATTCCTGCTTGTCTACAGGCCCTAAAGTCTGTTCCCCATGCAGCCAAGGTGAAGACAGTGGGCTGCCGTGAGCTGGAACGATCTGTAGAATTCGCGGATCAGCATGGTGAGAAGCAAATCAGCTTCTGCCATCGGGTCACATCAACACTCAGCATGTCTACTCCATATCTTGCTGCAGCAATAGGGGCGTAAGTGGCGCTAAAATTGAGTAGTACCGAGTACCTGCTAAAGTGCCGAGTGTGTTCGGTTGGTACAGACCGGGAGTCGTATGCGCACTGCGTCAGGAGTAAATTGATGTGCCAATTTGGCGCCTCAGCGGGCTGCGGACCTTGGTGTCTGTTCGACGTCTGCTGTATGTAGCTAGAGAGCGCACCGCGGCAAGAGGTGATGCATGAACATACAAAGAGCAGACAGACGAAGTGTAAGTGGCGGTGCGTCCCATGGCACCAGGAGAGAGAGAGGGCGCGCGAAGAAGAAAAGACTACGGCTATAGTTCTACCTGACGAGGGTGCAAGAAATTCAAAAACCGTGAGATTTTCTTGAGAAACACCGCTCCGCTCTCCGCGACATCAACGGAAGAGGAAAAAACAGGTACGCCCCATGAAATATCCCTCGGAAAAACTGCTCTGCGAGGCTTCCCATTAATCCGTACCAGCATTTTTTGGGGGGCGGCGGTTTGAGCTACTCCGTCACATAATGCACGGGGTTAAAACCGCAGTACAGTCACGGATTATCCACAGTCACAGTTTTGGCACGGCACGGATGTGACATTGAATACATATTCTACTCGTACATGTGCAGCAGCTGCCACACAAAAGCCGTGCCCACAGACGCAGTCCGCGAGTCCGTGGCACACAAACTCCGTGCACATCACTCCGTGTGCACGTCTGTGCGAATTACTGATGGAGTCGACACGCAACTCTGGCGACCGCCCTTCTGGCGGCCGCCCGCCTCGTCGTGATGGTGCTGGTGGTTCCGTGTACCTTACATGACTACAGCAGTAAGTTGCCAATCGAAGATGGAGTTTCGGAACTGGGATTCGTGTATAGCAAGGTTCGGCAGTCAATGACGCCCGACCGAGTCGAGATGGTCATGTTGCTCACATTTATTCCCGATCTTACTCCGGAGATCAAGAAGTTGAACCACGTGTTGGAGAAGCTGTGCAGCTCAGTCTGTTGGGAAGACTAAAGCTGCATCCGTCCAAGCTGCTCGTGCGGGAGAGCCAGTGGAGTGCAAACGTACAATATTTGGTTGAATACACGAGATAGATGTGTAGAGTAGTAGCAAGTTCAAGAAAGAGGCAATTGAAGAAGCATCTGTTTGTGTGCGTGTTGCAGGAAAGTGTGAGTCGAGGAGGTATTGATGTGGGGAATGTAATTCTACCTGAATAATTGATTAATTGACAGCTTTTTGGTTTGTTTTGGGCTGGCCTGGCGGCGAGTTGTCTAGATTCAGAGATTGGAGGGTTGAAACTACCCTCTTCTACCGTAGCCACTACAGGGACGAAACTAGAAGGAACACTAGCCTTGGTTGGATTGAAGTTTCGACCTTGCCGCTAAAAGGTTTGGAGGTGACGAACCACGCCACTGAGTCGACCGGCGCTTACCACGGAGCACTATTCCGTGAGATGGTCGTGTTGATGGTTGTTCATTTGAAAGCCACCCTGACGTCTTCCCAATAGTCTTGTTGTTGTGCATAAGGAAGAGGGTTCCCGTGGTCCCAAGCTGACGCAACCCAAGGTAACAAAGTTGAACACAAGACCCTGAAGATCTCATGCCACCTAGTCCAAAAGTAGCACTTCTACAAACCTAGAGTGGAAACTTAAGTGTATGCACGGAACATGTCAACCCCTACCTACCGCGTTAGGGTGATACACAAAGCACGGACGTCCAATACCGAAAGCCCCGGGGTTCATTTGGTGCCTTTGAATTGACTCTTTTGTTTCCTTGTGTGTCTTGGCCGGTGACAGGAATTCCTAATCGGGTTGGGAGCTACGAAGACGTGGCCAAGGATCCAGAGGTGGACATCTGTTACATCGGCATGCTACACCCTTTTCACTACGAGAATGCCGTGACAGCACTGCAAAACGGCAAGCATGTGCTCGTGGAAAAGCCATCCACCTGCAGTGAATGTGACACAAAAGCGCTAGTACGACTGGTACGTGCTAAAAAGCAATATCTCTACCTCCCAACCCACCCTTCCATGCCCAGCTGTTTTTCTGTCACCGTTGCTACCACTCTCACGTGCGAGTACTGAACGTCGTGTTTTCATTCAACCCCTTTGGAAACAGGCTCAGGAGAAAGGGTTGTTCCTGATGGAAGGAATGTGGACCCGCTTTTTTCCGGCGGTGGAAAAGGCTCAGGAACTTGTCAAGTCTGGGACCATTGGCAAGGTGGTGGCGGTTCACTCCGACTTTGGTTTCAACGGAGGTGACGTCGCCAACTATCCGGACCACATGTTTTACAACCTCAACCTTGGTGGTGGCGGATTGTTTTATGTCGCGCCTTACCCGGTGGCTGCAGCTATTCAGTTTTTAGGCCCAGCCTTCCCCTCTCGGATAGCGGCGGCCGGGGTGAAGGACAAGCTCACGGGCGTGGATCTCAGTGGTGCTATTTCTCTCCACTTCGAGGGAAAAGGAATTGCTTCCTTGACATACAACATCGAGGTGCGGTTGCAAAGGTTCCTTGTTTGAACGGAGGCGATATTGCCGGTTCTACGCCTATTTACTTTCGTTTTTTTTCCTCGCGTTGTTCTTGGTGCCTGCGGCTTAGCCGCACCCTCGAATGCCATTATGTAGACATCCGCGAGCCTTCACGGCACCGCAACGTGCATATCTTCAAACGTGGACTAGTCTAAACTGGTGATTACTTCATGTGCTTGATGTATTGGGAAGTCTTTGGTTGCTAAGCTCAGGTAAGCCCCGCTGCCCCGCATGCGCAGGCGGAAACTCCAGAGGAGACGATCATCATCGGAACGGAAGGTCGCATCAAGCTTCTTTCCCCTGCTCATTGCCCGACGGCGATAGAGGTCACGACAAAGGCAATCGGGCGAGGTACGTTTGTGCGCATTGACTCAAAATCGTTGCAACACCAGCCCGCGTCGTGGCGCCAATACCCTACAATCGATGTGGGTTTTGCTGTCGGAAACGTGCCTCACGTTTTAATTCAAGCGCACCACGTTTGACCCCCGTTCTGTTTTCAGGCAATACCATAACGATACGCCACGACTTTCCCCTTCCGGACCCGCCGGCGTCAGTGGACGCCTCCGGTGGCTTTAACTACCCCAACTCGAACGGGTTCCAATTCGAAGCAGTGGCCATCCACAAGTGCATCCGTGGAGGGCGAACGTGTTCAGATCAGTACACGCCAGATGAAATGCTAGCGGTAAGTATCTACCGGACGGAGACGCAACAGCAGTTGGCTGGGGTCGCAGGGTTTTTGATATTTCCAAGTGTTCGGGAGCCAATTCCTACAGACTCTTCTCACGTATTGGTTAACGACGACTGCCACATGACTGCTGTTGACTGGTCAGGGTGGCGATAACGATTTTATAACTGGTACCCCCTGGAAGTATTCTTGAACTCTTCGGTTGAGGCAATGTTAGCCTGAATCGCTTCTCTGTATCCCCCAAATCGCTGGGTACTTTCTCCCTCCTGCTTCGACGGATGCGTGCTGCCAGGTCATGCATGTGCTCGAGGAATGCCGCACACAGTTGAAGATCGACAGCGTGGAATAGATGTGGACGCCTGAATATATCATCAGGTTTACCCGATGTTCCGGCTCTGTGGTCTTAGAAGATTTCATCAAGCGACTTGTGCGTAATTGTTGTCTATTACGGTGGTGGTCCCGGTTTAGCGGTTCTCTGTGTAGCGGGATGCCCTGAATTGCGGTTCCACAAGCTGGCGGCACGGTTGCATCACCCCAGAGAAACGATTGTACGATCGCTACACCGATCGTGCCCCCAATGCGGTTGCTAGAGTTGTCTTAACGCCAATAATGGCGGTTGTCGATTCAATTTTTCAATTTTTGGGCCCCCAATGGCGGTGTGGGGGTGGTGGAGCTCACGGCTACTTGGAAGCGCTTAGTACGAAGGCAGAGGAGGGTAGGACCGCGTGGAGGACTCGAAGTTGTGCGAGGTGTTGACGTACTTTGCCATCACCCCGGGTAGCTCTTTCCAGCATGCAACCGTCGCAGCGGCTCTGCCTTGGGCGGAGCTAGAGAAGAAGGAAATATCACTGAGGCTTTGCAGAAGGATGTACACGGGGAAGAGGATAATAAACCCTTCGGAGCTAGAGCTCGTATGGGGATGATGGCGCAGCCTCCGTACTCGGAGCTATGTCTTGTCTCATACTAGCCCGCTTGAAGAGTGCGCGGAGTCGTGTTGCGCACTAAAGCAGTGTCTTTGCAAGGCAAAATGATCTCGTTCGGGCCTCGCAACTCACGCCGCTTCATCAGCGCACCAGACAACATGAGAAATGTTTGGTTAAGCATGGTCGATTTGCGTGAAAAAGTATAATCGCAGAGGGGAAATACTGAAGCACGTGGTTGTTGCCGTTCTCGAATTTTTCCCCACGTGTGGGAGAGGCCTCTATATTTTTTTATTGTCTTGGAGGCCGAGACTTGCCGAATCTTTGTGCCTAGTTTGTCTCTGCCCCACCGACCCCGCTTTCGTTTGGTACCTTCGGATCGGCAAACTACGCTTGTTTGCTTCTTAGTCTTTTCATGTTGGTGATATTTAGGGCAGCTTGCGGAATATAAAACAAAACATACGAACAAACGTTTGTACCAAGAAACTCCTCGTTTTTGTGTTGAGACGTGTAGCTTAGAAAATACCTGAACTGAAATGCAGTAAATCATGTACCCTCGTAAACCTGCTACAAGGAGATAAATAGATGCATGCCGCATGAGTGACCCTATCAAGACTAGCTTTCCACGCTATTGTGCCGCAAATAAGGGCTTTCCCCGGTTTCGCGGTTCACAATCTTGTTGACACTCGCGATTCTTAAGCGGTACACAACCGCCGAAGAGGTTTAGAGGCCATGCCTGAAAACCGACCCCGAAAGGGTTGGGTGACGCGTGCCCAGAAAGTTGAAAGGCATTTTGACTTGTTCCCGTTTTCGAAGCATAGGGTGATCTTCGCCGTATTACCTCTTCGTCGTCAGTACAGTACTCTCACGACAATCATTTGAGGTAGGCTTTGGTAGGATGACACGTGTAAATGACACTACCAGTACTTGGCGGCCGTGTGTCGTATGGTTCCGGACAAGTAATGTGCCAATGTTTTTGCGGTGTGTCATATTTCGAGGAAAGCATGTCTGTGTTGCATTCTGGAAAGCTCGACTAGGTGGACAAACAGGGGGCTGACACGGAGTCTTAGCTCGCTTTCACATTCACACGTCAACAGTGGATATCTTGGCTGAGTCACACTTGAGAGGCTGGAACATTTGTATAAAAATCTATCCAAGTGGCCAAATCTCATGGAAGTTGAAGACACGTTCGGAGTCCACGCACTTGGTCTTCGATATTCACGTTGGAAGGTAACAATCATCCACAGTCGTCATGAAGACAGGAAGTCTACCCAAGCCTCTTTCATCTGTCGCATAACATGGCACGTGTTGGTCAAGCAACTCGAGCTTTGAGCGACTAAACGAGGGGATAGCTGCGTGAGGATTGCCTACGCGAGTACGTAAGAGAGCCTGGAAGCAGCGGCAAGCGCACTACTTTCCCTTGACAAATCACAAAACACTTCTCCAGTTTTGACGCGGAATCAAGGCACACAATGGTTTGTGGACACAAGAGAACATGGCTGTCCTGAGAAGTATCCTACCGATGTCGCGAGTAGTCGAGGTATATGCGATGACCAAGGTCATGACCCGAGAGAGTGGGCGAGAGCAAAAGCAACCTAGCAGAGTTCCGGAGGATACTCGTCCCTTCTTTTCACTTGGTGGGGCAAGCAACCGGGGTGACAACATCATGTCAAGATGACAATAATGTGTGGAATGAGCTACAATGTATGGGTATCAGATTGTGGGAGAGGAACACTTTCCAACAAGGGGTGGTCGGTCGTCCACGTGTACCACCAGTTACTTCTCGCAAGTCCAAAGAGCTAACCACGAACCTGCAACAAATCACACATCACACCTCAGCGAGGCAGAGTGCCTGAAACAAGCAGAAGCCGGACCAAGTGTTCCGGGGGAAAACTCAAAACCAACAAGAGCCAACCTACCCCCTTGTTCCGCGACCAGAACTTCGCCATGGCCGGGCATAGGGCTATCACTGTCATCTACCCATGAGCTTCGTCGCGAATGTTCTCGGGTGCATCCACGAGATAGGTTCTGAAGCACGCTCAAATACGGGAAGCCAGAAAACAAAAGCCGGAAAGATGTACCGGAAATCTGTTGATTTTACTTGAAGACCTTGCCATCGAGCACGGGCCTACCCTCGACCGTGGTCTCGCTGCACCACATCTCCGTGACTAGGGCCTTGTCCGCGTCGGAGACCGGCGTGGCAACCTTCACCCAGTCGTACCTGTACGTCAGTGCGTACCAGGGTGGCGGCGGAGACGTTCAAAATATCGGCCTGTGACCTTCCATGACCAATTTGAAGAGCTGTCACAACCCTATCAAAGGCACCAATATTGAACGAACCCTCGTAGTATCGACTCTCCACGCCAACAACGTGTGTGGCAGTACTCTGTCGGAATCAAATGAGTCAGGAGGTGAGGAATGAGAGTCGAACCACACGCCCCAGAAATCACCCTGATTGGGTATGATAGACAAAGGCATCGTGTCTCGAGGCAGCCAATCGCCACTGGCTGCTTCGCAGTAAACTACGAAGAACAACACAGCGACTCGACTCACCAGTTGGCGTCATCGTTGGCGTCTACCATGGGCTGGATGCTCTGTCCACGGATGAGCCACGCTCCGGACACGATCAACTCCTTTCCCTCCTCGCCGGTGATCTGCATGCAGCTGTCAGTGCGGAAGAAGCGAAAAATATATACTCAGCGAACACGGTGGAAGACCAGGCACAGAAGCACAGGTAGACTGAGAATGCCCCCCTATGCTACTAATGAGCTACTCCACGCGCCTCTTCAAAAACCCTTTCGACAGCATCTCCAGCCCCTTCACTTCCTCCAAGCGGAAGACCTCTCACCCAAACGCCCACTTCCTGATCTCGCCAGAACGCTGGATGAACCCGCCCACCAGGTTCGACGTCATGAACAAACGAGTGTTCTCAGCGTTGTACTTGTACCGGCAAATCCAGAGGGACCATCCCTCAGGGTCGAACATCTCCCAGAATTGCTTCATGCTCTCCTCGTACGAGTTGTTGGAGTAAATCTGCCAGAGGATAAACAAGGACTTCAGCGTTGGGACCCGACACAAACAATTGATACCTCACAGAAGGTACACGCCTTTCAGAGATCTTGAAGCCAGCTACGCGGAAAACTGCAGAATCAGCGACACCTGCAATAATTGAGCGAGAAAGTTACGACCTTTTTCCACGTGTCTCCCACAAACGGCGATTTCGCCTCTTTGTCCATAACGGCGAGGGGGTGAGGGGCCTTCTTCTCCTCTGCGGGCATCCCTAAGTCCCGGGAGCCGTCGTCTTCTTCCTCCTTGTCCTCCTTCTTTTTCTTCGCCTTCTTCGCGGGCTGCGGCTTCTGCGGAACGAGGATGAGAAATCGAGCCAAGTGAGTGCCACGGATACGAAATATCAACCGGGGAAAACGGCGAATAACGCCGCGCGAGTCACTGAAATCAACGAGAGAATGAGATGCACGGGCGTAAGCACAGACGGCCGAAACATTTGATTTAGAGTTATCTAGAAAAATGCCAGACTGTTTCGTGTTCAAATATCCAGGACGTTCGCTGCATTGGACACACCTTCTCCTTCTTCGGTGCCTTGGGGGCTCCTTCCGCGGTCATTTCTTCCTTGGCTAGCTCCACGGTCCCGATCACAGCCATGAATTGAGGCTGGTTGACGCAGGTAGTGAACCATCGAGTCACACAAGGGAATGCCTTGCGGTACTCGGGGCTCACGACGAGCTTCATGGGGTACACCAGGGCTGAAGCGACGGTGATATCGGCCAGGGTGATCTTGTCGCCGACCTTGAGGACAGAAACGACAGGAAAGAGGATAATGAAGTGAATCAAGGAAACATGAAGTCGACATTCTCTCGCCGACTTGCCTGCCATTTTCCCTTAACGCAGAGATTCACCACGCCGTGACGAAACTGAAGTCCCCAAGCGAGGCATTCCTCACCAGGTACGTTCTGTGCAGCAAGGCTTTTTCAAGAGCACCCAGGGCGATCTTTAGGTCCTCCTTCGCCTTGCTAACGGCGGCGTCGTTGTACGGCATGTAGCCGATAACTGGGTAGCACCAGATGGTGGCCGGAAGCTCAATTTCGTGCGCACAAAAGTCGATCCAGGAGTCAACCTGCGGGGATTATTCGACGTGATCGGGTGGAACATGGAAGCGATACTTTGACAGCAGTACGAGAATCACCCAAAGTGAAATATGTGATGTTCGGCGTGTTCGCGGTGAACTGAGGACGCAAACCTTTCTCCTTATGACTGCTGTCTGAATGGTAACTACAATTCAAATACTTTACCGTGAACAAGCCCTGCTTTGCACGGGTACTACAAATGGTTCGAGCTCTGAGACTGCCGTGCTCATTTCTTCATTCGTTGCCAAAGAGCACCATACGTGATTCCCAATATGCTATCCGTAACATCACCTACTGTTGTTTTTCATAAACATCGCAATGCGCTCGACTTGCCTGGGCGGACTCGAAAAAAGAAACACCGTAGAGCTCGGTATCACGACGCATGCGTGCGACGTACCGTGCGATGGCATTCGACTCGAAGATTGAGCCCTGTAGAGAGGGTAGAGAGCGGGCCAGAAACAATTTCTCAAAACGCATTTTGCAATCATCACATCCATCTTTTGGTACATATGGAGTTTTATTTAGTATAAGCTCGTACACGCCTGCCTTATTGCCCGGCTCCACCTTCCTATTTATTCGATAGAGGAGTACAACACGCCGTCGGTGAAACAAGGTCTTTTAGTTTATACTCCCACTTCGGATGGGAGATCACGATAGCAGCAGCGACCCCGAGACGGGGTTGTGACAACTGTCACTCGCAAGAGTCTTCAACAAATCTACAACAGCAGTGATAAGAGAACAGGGCCCGAGGGATGCATTTCATTTCTGTTGCTTCGCGGGACGGATGTGTGTATTATTGGGACAGGATTGGACGGCCAGGTGGGAGAGTATGCGACGTACAATCGCACCCACACACACAAACGCGGACAAAAAGGATTCAGTACACATCTTTGCTATGCCTGCTGAAAACAGTACCATCTTCCCACCTGAGGCGTTTCCAGGACAGGCACGCGTCCGAGCGGAGACTTCGCAAGGAAGTCTGGGGACTTGCTGTCGCTGGGGTGGTTGAATTCGGGCACCTCAAGCTCCACGCCATTGTATTCGGCGGCGATCAGAACCTTGAATGCTCTGAAGTTAGCGGGGTTCGTCCAGAGCTTCTGCTTTCCAAACACGACGCAGGTGCGGAATATGGTCGTGTGGTCATGCAAAGGTTGCACTCGATCTGTGTAAGGAATGCCAACGCAAGCGAGCTCTACCGGACAGGCCCGCAATGTCATTCCTCTCCTACTGCTGCTGTGTGTTGCTGCTGCCAGCTCAATACGCTGCTGCCTTCCTCCGAGCGTGAAGGCAACATACCAACATCGTTTGTGTGACCCGAGAGCGATGCATCCACGAAGCACCAACACAACCTCGGATGGGAGCAACAGATTAACAAGATTGGAACAAGGGGCGTTCAAGAAGTACTCACGAGAGCCATCGTTGCGCAGAGGGAGGAGGTCGTCGAAGAAAGCTCTGGGCCACACACACGCTGCTCCGTTTGGGGGTTTCGCGGATATCTCAGAAGCTTGTTTTTTCTGCAAGGGCGGGGGGGGATTCATGTATGTGCCTACCACTGCTGTAGGCGCCTTCCGAGATCGAATGCCCGAAGCTTTTGCGGGTGCAGTTTCCGTCGGTAGGAAAAANCTGCGCGGGCGGGCGTCAGGAAAAAAATGCCCCCCAAACCAAAAAATCTGCGAGGTGCGAGCGGTTGATAAAAATCGGCGGCGAGGACAGAGTAGTCAAGCAGACATGGAGACAAACCAGGACCGGGTATACGCTGACGTCTGTGCTCCTGGACAAGGGCACGCAGAGGAGTCGTGGTGCGAGTATCGAGGAGTTTGTAGCTAGCAACGATGAGCTTGTTGCC